GCTGAGGCAGGAAGAATGTACGATATGCTGTTGAACGGAGAGATATCAACAAGAACCGTATGTGAAGATGATGTACTTGACCGCATTAAAGAAGTACTGGACTCTTACAAAGCGTCCATGGGAACTCTTCGCACAGCTACTTTGTGGATGCAGTACATGGAGATGATCGACATCCTTCGACAATTTATTAAAGCGGAACGCACAGGAAATTGGGATCTTCACCTACAGACAGTGCAAGAAATGATGCCTTTCTTCGCTGCATCCGGCCACAATCTCTACACCAAGTCCGCATACATGTACCTCCAAACTATGCAAGCACTTGAACGTGAACATCCTCTGATCCACATGGCCTTCCAAACAGGACACCATGTAATACGCAGAAGTGATCGGTACTGGGCTGGACTTTCCACTGATTTGATTATCGAGCAAGTGCTGATGAGGAGCGTGAAAACATCTGGTGGATTGACAAGAGGTCGTGGAATGACCGAGGGTCAACGGGCACAATGGCTTCTCTCGATGCCATCATGTGCGGACATGAACAGTGCCATACAGGAATTTACTGATGTAAACTACCACACCAGCGAGCAACACAAGGATAGCGGACGATCCAGGAAAGAGAGGGATAAGAAGGATACGATGACGTTCCTCAACTTCTTTGTGGACCAGAAACCGTTCCAAGAGGATGTCCATCTGCGCAATATCGAGACAGGTGAAACTGCCAACGTAAAGGTAAATGCAGACAAGGCTCGGGACGTCGGGAACAAAATCTTGAAATCTATGGAAGGTCGGAATGTTGCGGAACATGTCTTTAAAAGAAGTGAGCAGGCAGTTACCCTTAGTACCAAATCGACAATTAAAGTAGACGGTGAAACAATCCACGTTGACCCTCAGCTACTTTTTCAAAGACTAATTGCAGCAGCAAACCGACTTGATGAGGACGCCTCCCATATCTTTGGCTATGAACTGAGCAGTTACCTGTCGTCTTTGTTCGATTCATCTGGACTTCCACGACCTGCACAGAAACCAGCACTCGCTGATGCCATATATGGATTGGGTGAGTGTCATTCCACGCCACCACGTGCACAAGTACATTTGTACTTGACGGCGGGTCGCTGCTCCATCGCATTCCTTGGACAAGAGGGTCGATATTCTCCGATATTTGTCAGAAGTACGTGGAGTACGTGATTCGAAACTACAATCATCCCACAGTAGTGTTCGATGGATACTCGGCTGGTCCGTCTACAAAGGACATAACCCACATATGACGAACAGGAGGAGCCATTGGTGCAAAGGTCGCCTTTACAGAGAACATGCCTTTCAGGTCAAAGAAAGAACTCTTCCTTGCCAATGCCGAAAACAAACAAAACTTCCTAAACATGTTGAGCGAAAAACTAGAACTTAGTGGATGCCGGACAGTTCACGCGATAGGCGATGCCGATGTATTAATCGTGCAAACAGCTGTGGAGAGCGCCCGTGACATCGCTACAGTGTTGATAGGTGAGGACACGGATCTTCTTGTGTTGTTGCTGTTCCATTCTGATCTGGACGCCAATGACATTTTCTTCCAATCTGTACAATCAGGAACTAAGAAAATGAAGATATGGGAC